CGAACTTTTGCACTTAGATAGAATTCGATACGCTTTACAAAAATGTCAGCGAGACCTTTAATTGTTTTCCGAATGACAATCGTGAAAACTTTTCTTTTTTCTCAAACAGTACTTTTTGCTTGAATCTTGTTAGAGTGTTGTTATTAGGGCCAAAATTTAGCTGACTGTCGTTATTAAGAAAATGCTTCCTAATAACAATAGAAGCAGGTCATTATCATGGACTGCTAACTTCTCCACGTCTACACTTCAGCAGAAGGTGGTTGTTACATCATTTGCAAGAGGACACTCCAAGGATTACGCATATGTAAAAATATTTTTAATGGGGTGTAAAATAGCTGTGAACCGAGTCAATCAAGACATGTTATTTCTTTTGTGTCGTTATTAGGGACATTTACTCTATTTTAGGTCTTTTTTCAAAAATATCTTAACGATCAATTATATAGATTTGTTATCGAAAATTCAATCATTTGAAAGCTATTTTCATCAATCAGCGATGACCATCACAGATGTCAACATTGTTTTATATTCAATTGCATCAATTTTTTCGACAATTCAGATCTGTATCTCTATTTGTCTTTTAATGTTCATGATTTTACATCAATCAGCAATCAAAAGAAAACGTGTGGATTATTTATTTCTTGCAAATATTTATATCATTCTACTATGTATTAGCTGTTTTCTTTTGGATATGTGTATTTATTATATGTATGGATATTCACATCCAGATAGTTCGTTTAATAATTGGTGGTGTCGAATAAAAGCTTATTTTATGTACATTTGTGGTTATACATTTTTTCATTCATTCTTGCTCCAGGCTATTTATAGAATATGTCGAATCATATATCCTATACAAACCAAATGTAAACCTTTTAGTTTTTATATAATCATTTCATTTGGTCAATGGATTTTTTCAGCCTTAGAATTATTGCCAAGTTTGATTATCGGTGATATGGAATACTTACATAATGATTATCATTGTCAAGTTACACCAAGTAGTATGCGTGGATCATTAACTGTTTGTGTAATTGGTTTTGTTTTTCCATTTATTATAATAGCATGTAGCTATGTGTATACTATATATTATGTTCGACAACATCACTCAACAATGATAACAATTAAGCGACGAAAAAGTATACATCGTGATATAATTATCTTAAAACGTGTACTTATCATTCTTACACTTTTGACAGCTTCTGCTGCACCACATGCATTTTTTCCCGTAGCTTACCGGATTCTTGGAAGTCTTCCAACATGGTTAGTTGCTTTGGAATGGCTTCTCACTATTCTCGCACTGATCTCTATTTCAGTGGTACTTCCATTGGTATCTCCTCATCTGAAGCAATTGTACACACACACAATTTTCAACATGAGATCAGTACCTCTTGAGCGCGAGCAACTTACTATTAAATGATACATGAATTATTGAAAACATGCAAAAAATCTGTCTCCAAATATCCTTATATACGCATCCATATATAAGTGATGTCTCAAAAGTTCTGTAGTGATTTTGAAATTCATCGTTCTCGCGTTCAGCAAGAGCAAACCCTTTGAAACTTCGGCAGATTATTTTACATGCTTAGTGCTATATAACCACAAAGTTTGAAATCAATAGCTTATACTATTGATGAGAACTAATAGCAACATTGTCATGCACTATTTTTTCAATTTTCTAGCATCGAAAATTCGATATAAAATCGTAAAAGAAATGTTATTTTCAGTGTCTTTTTTGTCAACACATGACTTACGAAAAGCCAAAAATAACATATTATAAATTATGTAATTTTTTCTAGCAAACAAGGTAGTCAACGAATTCCGTTTTACAAAATGTCATTTTTCAAGACGATCATGATCGTAAACAAAAGATGAAGAAATATTCGAATGTTGTTAGGATGGGGTGTGGGTGTGGGCATGTGTTACGGGCTTTGCCCTCACAGTGTGTCTTCTATTTTCTGCTGTTTACTTTTTGTCCTTGATTTCATATAAATCGAGATTATGCCTTCCCTCTTTCTTTTTCTTCGATATGATGTCATTATTTTCTTATTATGGCAACATCTCTTTCTTCGATGTAATATCTTTCGATTACATTATCTTCTCTTTTTTGTATTCATTTTCTCTTTCGTTTATCCTGGATTTGCGAAATGATATACATATATTCGCGTTTCTTTCTGTTCTAGTTGGTACGATGTAGTTTAATCATTTATGTGTATGTGTGTCCGTACATTTTTAGTTAGATATAAAAAGAAAAAGAAAAAGGGTAAAAAACCAAGACTCCAATAATGTGGCTGTGGTGGTGTGGGGGTGGGGTGTGGAATGTGAATGTGGATGCGCATGCGTGTTGGTGTGGGAGTGTATAAAGCAAACAGACGTACCAACACAAACATCCACACACACACCCCGCACCCCATGTTTTACATCCCCACCAACGCCCACCCAGGGAATAAAAAAATGAAAAAAATTTCATTTAAATGATTATTTTCAAACTTTTCATCAAAAAATTCCGTTACTTTAATTATTTTGCAAAAATCAAACTCATTCAGACAGTTTCATTATTTTTGTACCATTTTCATTGCCTTAAATTGTTTATTCTAGAAAAATTGAAATTACTGTACTGATTTCATTTTTTTGCATGATTTTCATCAGATAAGCTTAATTTTTCTGAAAAACTATAATAATAACAGTACTTTCATTATTTTTGCATCGTTTTCATTCCATTAAATTGTCTATTTCAGAAAAATTAAAACCATTGCACGAGTTTTAGTTTTTTCGCATTATTTTCGTTAGATGATCTTGATTTTTTTACAAAACTATAATCATTACAGTACTTTCATTATTTTTGCATCATTTTTATTCCATTAAATTCTCTATTCTTGAAATATTAAAATTATTGCATTAGTTTCATTACTTTTGCATCATTTCCACTTCATTAAATTGTCTATTCTTGAAAAATTGAATTCATTGCATTAGTTTTATTTCTTTTTCATCATTTTCATCAGATAATCTTAATTTTTTTATAAAAGCATTATAATAACAGTACTTTCATTATTTTTGCATCATTTCTATTTCATTAAATTGTCTATTCTTGAAAAATTAAGATCACTGCATTAATTTCATTACTTTTACATCATTTCCAGAGCATTAATGTGTCTATTTTAAAAAAATGAAATCACTGCATTAGTTTTATTTCTTTTGCATCATTTTTATCAGATAATCTTGATTTTTTTTGCAAAATTATAATAATAACAGTACTTTCATTACTTTTGCATCATTTTCATACCGTTACATTGTCTATTCTTGAAAAATTAAAATCACTGCATTTGTCTTGTTACTCTTAAATTAGACATACTACACTTTTTTTTGTTGCTGGGTTAAGTGCAAACTTATGACATAGTTTTTACAATTTGTACATCATATGACTTTTAGTCTGAATTTCTATTGAATATTTGAAGAAGAGAACCAAGATGTTTGAAGAATATAATAATCTTTATTTAATATATATGTGTATGACAACTAAGTTGAGATTTGAGAATAAAGAGTCATCAATGAATTTACTAGGAGCTTTCTAACAAATTGGGATAACGTATAATGATAAAATCTTTCGTACTCAGTTTTATGTACGACAGCTTCTCGATCAAGTTAATAGGACGAATTGGTACGATCTGACCCGATAATCGAATGAAGACAAAATCAGAACAGATGATGTTGACTGGTGAAGATTGATTGGGGACATCGATGTTTACTGCAAGATATTTCTGGATGATGAACTTTTCCACATAGATCAATGTCTTCATGTTTGAACAATTACTATTTTGTATTGCACGAATAAAACCGGCTTCTAAAGTACCTTGACCATCGTCAAAAGCAACACATCCATCATCAAGCATTTTTCCATCTGACACTGTAAATCTGACCTTGCCGACGAAGAGAACTTTATAAAATGGATGAGAAATTTTACAATGCAGCTGGTGTTGAATAGATAAATTTTCACATTCGTCCAATTGCCTACAGGCAGATAAGTAAGTGGATCCGAATGATGATTTTTCAATGGTTGCAAGACACTCTTGTTTCTTGAATGCATTTATTTCTGTATAGAATAATTTTAATTGTTGGTTGAAGTCATGTAGTTCAATATCAGCTGTCGCCATTCGAATAAGAGCAATATTGTTTCTGATTTCATGTGCATGCATTCGAGTTCCGTGAACTGATGAAGCAATGATGCCTAAAATGGAAGTATAGACGAAAGATTTTGAAAATGGAAATATATTTATTACCCAAGATACTTTCAAATGAAAACGTGGAATAGTTCTGAAGTGGTCCGAAATTCGCAATGGTTTTTTATACGTGCGTGAGACTATGGATCACGTGTGTGTGGTGGCGAACGGTATAGATCGAAGGAAATTGTTGTACGAATACATCCAATAAGTATTTTATTTCAGTTACTTGACGTCGTTTCAAGCATCGGCTTTCAGCAATGTGCATGGCAATCGAGAGTAATTCCAAATCTATGAAAATAACTGCATTTATATCGGTTAGTAAAAAACACTTTAAAAAATCATTTCAAAAAATGTTTGGGCAACATGTATCAAAATAATGCAATGAATTTGATGAAACAGAGTATTTTAATATAAATCATAGAATAATTTTAATTTGTTTCAGATTAGTAGTATTCATTTGATTAAACTAATATAGTCATCCCAGAAAAAAACAATTTTTCTTCATTCATATGATGTTTTTTCAAAATAAGTTTTTTCTCCTGGCTGTGAAAACTGTCGCTATTGTTGGTTTGCCTACATTTAAGCATCAGCAGTAAAATACTCACGTTTGTAATGTAATTCGTTTAATCCTTCTCGAAAAGCAAATATTCCAAATAACAATTGAGTGCGTAGTTCTGAACCGTTGTATTTTTTAAAAAAATATGAGGGGACGAGGTATTCTAGTTGTATTGGATGGATAATGAATTTGTCCAATGAAGCTTGAATACTTTCCATTTTATTTTTACATGATCACTTTTGTTTAGCATATTTATCATCAAACAGAGGTACAAGAATGCGTCGCTGCAATTATAAAAAGGAAAATTAAACAATATAATATTATTAAACTCACAAATACGCCGTGGTAAACATTGTGTAAGGGGTCATTCGCAAATGACTGGCCAATATCAAAGTTACTCAAATCTCGCAAACGACAAAAACCTTTATGACCACACAACATTTCGAGGATTTCATCTTCAGTTGTTCTTTGTCGAACATCCTTTGAACAGGATTTATAGAAACTATATTTAATATTTTGAAAAATCTTACTGGTTTACAAACTGTTTCGATCATTTGATCGTACCATTCATTAGTACGTAAACTATAGGTGATTGTTGGTGCTGTTGGGAATACACGTATCGTAGTTTTACCAGTAGAAACTTTATCGCCTGAAAATATAAGAATTTGGCTTTATTCTAATATAATTGTTTCTCGAGAGGGAAGCTTTCATCCACCTTTTTACTTATAGGTTTCAGTCAAGTCGTAAAAAGAATATAATTTTGCTTCCCATAGAATGAAAAAGTTAAAAAGAATGATGACTTTCATGTGAAACGCATGAAAAAAATAACATTTCAGATCATGAAACGAATATAAAAATTGATGTATTTCATTTTCATTGATTAAAATGAAAATTTTCATTAATCTCATTGCATGATTTCTATTACAAATCAAAGGCATAAAATGAAATTCGTCAAGACTTAAAAAACATCAAATGAGATTGATGAAAATTTCCATTTTAATTGATGAAAATGAAATACATCAACTTTTATATCGATTCCATCATTTTAACCTAATTTTTTTGATTTTTTAATTCTCTGAGTTGATAAGATAGCTATTTTAATCAAACTAATGTCATGACTTCACGTTGTTTTAATCAAAGTCCTGATATGAATTTGATTAAAATATTTATTTCATCAACTAAAATTTCACTTTTTTAATTTTTCATCATTTCCGTCAGTGAATGTTTATAGTAATTTCATGCAAATATATCCGATTTGTCTGTTTTGTGTTCCTTGTTACATAACTGACCTTCAATAGTGCACGAACCACATCCAAAGCGTCCATGAGGCTCTCCAAGGTTTTGAAGAAGTGCTTGGGCTGGCTTATCGTTGCAGCTGAGTATTAAGAAAACTCTTCCCCAAACTGCTGCTTGATCTGGAGTGCTAAAACTAATTCCATTTTCAATTCTTTTTAAATTTTGAACAATAGGTTTAAGCATTGACTGCATTTGTGCCTTGGACGGCTTACAAAGGCTCGAAGAAATAGCCAAAATTAGCATGTTATTTAATTTTAATCGATCTTGACGAGCAATTTCATTGATTGCAGCAGTAAATATCCAAATAGATCGATTGCTTGATTGAAAAATTGATATTCCATCAATGTTTAATGTGAGTGTAATAAAAGAATCACGCTGAGTTCGAGCAAGTTTTCTATAAACTGCTCCATCACAAACGTCTGATAATTCTGTTGCTGGAGAAGTTCGTATATCATTATTATAAAATTTGATTTTTGTACGAGATAAAATTGATAAAAACTGGAATTCAATTGGAAAGTGGAGAAACTCCGTAGGATATTTAGTAAAAGAGCCGAATAGTTTACAATTTGCATTACGACCTTGTGTTTTTCCTTGGCAGAGAGAAGCACATTCATTACACACCCGATATTCTACTAAATCAGTAACATTCTTTCATGGAACAAGAAAATTTTTCAATTGTTGAAAAGACATCGGTGAATTTTTTATGCCAAGTCGGATAAAGAGACTACATAAATCATCAACACAGGAGTCTGTTAAATGATGTCGAGCCTTAAGGAGCATAAGGATGACAGACAGTTCCCGCATAGTTGGCGGTTCGTGTCTATAATGAAAATGATAGTCATTGTTGAAGATATTTAAAACATGCAAAACGCTTATTTTAATAGTATTTTTGTCATATATTACCGAAAATATGAAGTGAATTTAGTGAATTCTTTATATAACTCAATATAATTAAATAATTTTGATTTTTCATCAAAATAATGGCATGATTTTGAGTTTTCATTAAAATTACTGCATGATTTTGATGACTTCGAAAAAATCAGAATCGTTACATTACTTCCAATTACTTTTACATCATTTTCATTTCATAACTTTGATTATTCTGGAAAAATCAAAATGATTATATTACTCTCATTACCGTTGCATTATTCTTACCGATGATTTTGATGACTACGTAAAAATGAAAATCGTTACATTCCTTTTCCTCGTTCTCATTTCATAACTTTAATTACCCTGGAAAAGGGAAAGTCATAACTTTCCTTCCATTACTTTTGCATCATTTTCATTTCATGAATTTGATAATTTATCAAAAAAATTGATGAATTTGAACCTTATATCCACATCTGTCGTTACACACACTTACAAATTTTGGTTTTTAAAAAACGAAATGTGTAAGGACAGACAGGATGCCGTGCCCTACTTTTTCTATTACTAATCGTAAATTTTAACTCTAAGTTTTTGCCATTTCACATGGCTTTAGAGTAAATTGAACTTCTTAAGAGTTCATCGCCTAGCTCCTCCAAGGGTAACCAGCCTGAGCTTTGTGAAAAGCTCAGATGCCACCTGCAGGTGGCGTAGGTGGAGAATTTTTGTCATTGTTATAAGGACATGGCTTTGATTAAATTTTAATTTTTTTCAGGAAAAGATTTTCATGTGTTGTAAATGATTTTCATGGCGTAACATTCGTTTAAATTTAATTGTTTTTATGGAATGAAATTTTCGAAAAAATTGCATGAATTTCAGAAACATGCAATAAAATGTCCGTTCCATGGCAAATCATGGCATGTTTTTCGCTTTCGACATCATGTCTCTGTGGAAAATTTTTCGTTAAAATGATGTAAATTACATCATTTTTTGCCATTTTTTTTCCATGGGTACACTCACACCCTCTCCCTACATAGCGATCGGTTTTCAAAAAACAAAACGTTCGACGATTTGATGTCAAATAGTTTTGCAGCTTTTTGAGAGCTCCTAAAGGCTACAATTTACCAATTTTTGATATTATAATCAAAGAAAAATTGTTTAAAACAACTTTACATATGTAGCAGGTTCTACAAAAAAATAAACATTAATCAAGTTAATTGTAGATTAATTAGAAGAGGTTTCGTCAGGGTTCGAACGATTTCAGAAAACCTAAACTCGATTGACCATAAATCGATAATTCAATGAAAAACAATCCGCTTTCAATTCCCAATCTTTGTTTTCTATGACCGTTTGCTAGGCATTGCCTTGCTCACAAGGCCTAATAAGACATCGAGTCATATTTACTATTCTGATAAGATGGAGAGACTCATCATCACTACATTTTGCTCGAGCTGAGTGTGCATGCCAAGAGATCCACCGATGTGATATGTTATCATCTGTATGTGATGCCATCCTTACGTTATGTCACTCTTATTTCATCTCATCCTCATGCCAATACATAATACTGCTCATCGTGTTCAACACTGCTTCAATAGCTTTGTAATCGCTACTCTATGCCCTCTGTGTGTGCTCATTGTCCTTTCCCTCGCTCTCTCCTATGAAAGCGTATGTTATATGTGAAGTAATTACTGTAACGATCGATTGAGTGTGTTATATTCATGATGTTCAATCTTCACTTATCATTTCTTCCCATCACATGTATTGTTCTTATCTTTCTATTTTTACATTATTGTTCTCCCTTTTCTTTCGCTCTCTTCTTTCTTTCTCCTGGTTGTGTATATAAACGCGTGCTTTATAGGTAAACGATGCGATTGATAATATGAAGAAGCTCAATAAAGCAAAATACCATCAATGCTAATACTTGTTCTATCTGAAAATCGTCACAATTGACGATTATGTGATATGAAGGAATAGAATAAAGTGTAACTCCATCAGCACTAATATCTCTTCTATCAATTTATCGTCACACGAAATTTATACCTGAAATTAAAGCTGAAACTAGGTTGACAAATATGTCGAGTCTCTGTTTTCTAGATTGATGGTTTTTTTTCGGTCCGATTGCGAGATAAAGAAAGATCAATTTGTTGATCTAATCTATTTCAGCTTTGATTTAAAATGTAAAACTATCCAATGATGACCGATAACAGTATCTGATGTGCCATTTTCAAGCGTCTGCAGTCATCTCTATAATTTCGGATTAACTCGTGGCTTTATAACTTGACTAATGGATGTTGATTACTTCAAATTGATTTGGTCGAAAGAACTTTAAACCAAATGAATCAATAATGCCTCTGACAAATTGATACCATTCGACTAGATGTCGTTGTCGTCCGTTTATAGTTTTGTAATAAATGAGACATACAGAAAGACGACTTTTTTATCGCTTGTTCCGTATCTTTGTTGAGTTCCATCGATTTAAAAATTCTTCCAATGTAATTTGTTTGCTGTTCACCAATCCATCAATACATTGCTGCTATGAATCATTAAATAGGCAATAACATTACTCTTTTCTCGTGTTTCAAATCAAACAAACATTAAACATGATTCAGTCAAGGACATGACAAAGGTGTGAATAAAAAAGCATATAGAATGAAAGAATAAGAAGAAAATGATGATGCAGGTTTCGCCTCAGTGACATAGTATAAAATACAATATTTTATTGAGGTAACTGCAAGAAGAAGTCGTTCCTACTTCTAAAAATGTGTAGTGACTTTCGTGAAGCACTTTTGAATTATGTTCTTAAGAATAGTCGTCCGGGTGATATCAGCAGTGTCATCAATATCATTGACCAGTATGGTTGGACTAAACAAGCACTCATGAATATTGGTGATAGAAAAGGCAAAATTCTCGATGCAGCTCTACAATCTCGACAACCAAAAACGGTCCTTGAACTCGGTAGATACTCATCGAAACAGATCCTCACAACTTCTTTTTTGTTTTTATTAAAGGTACTTTTCTTGGCTATAGTTCATTGCGCATGGCTTCTCAACTACCTGAAGATACATTGATTGTCACTATCGAAGTAAATCCTGAATCGGCAGCTACTGCTCGACGTATTCATGAACATGCTGGTGTTGCAAATCGCATAAAAATTGTCCTCGATCAAACTGACCAAGCAATTCCCAGTTTGAGTAAACAATTCAATGTTGATTCATTTGATTTTATCTTTATTGATCATGATAAAGGGGCCTATTTAAGGGATTTCAAACAACTTGAAAATGTCGGTTTGATCAAACGTGGTACAATGATTGTTGCTGATAATATTATCTATCCCGGTGCACCTGACTATGTAGCCTATGTTCGAAATAATCCACATTATACATCAACATTTCATGAATCGACTCTCGAATATGAGAAGAATATTCGTGATGGTGTAGAAATTTCGATTCGACAATAAAACATTGCGAATAAATGATTGCGAAGAAGTTTCAATAATTTTTGTTATTTGATGCAATAAAAGAATCTTAACCATGAAAACATAATGTCTGTTTCACTGCCAGAGACCTAGAGTTGCAAAAACAAATTGTGTTCCATTTGAATTTGATGATACATCAGAAAGTCGAGCAAGACTTAAAGATGCTAGATCATAGTAAAACTCTCCTATAAAAAGTACAAGGGTGTGGGTGCGAGTGCGGGTGAAGATGTGGAGTGGGTGTGGATGTTGGTTAGAGTCCTGCGACAGACTTTTATGTGTCGCAAATTCCGTTTGTCCCGTCGAGTGAAAAAAGAAATATAAAGATGCCGCTATATGGACGAAGATAAAATCCTCGCATATATATCACAGATAGGAAAAAATATATGCATACATATGATTAGTGAACAAATAAACTAGCATATCATAAAATAATTTTGAGAATAAAGAAATAATAAGCTCACAAATCATTGTGAACGTTGTTTTTCTTACAAATAGAATTCTTCCTTTCTTTTTAGTATTACAACTAAAATGCCATCAAATGTTCATAAAGAATTTTCAAAACATGAATTACAAGAAGTTGATCGAAACGAATGATCCATCAATTACATTTGTAAAACGAGCTAATACACGATCTGATTTGTGATCAAGTTTTTCTCATTTTGATTATTTAAATGTTGCACAAAATTACATATTGTGTAATCATTGTTGTACTGTATTAAAATGGTCAAGCGCAACAGGCACAATAGTGATGAAAAACCACAACTGTGCCAAGAAATCGAATTCAGAACCATCAACAACACCTTCACGCCAACGTAGTTTCATCTTGCATGCCACCTGCACAAGAAAATTAGGGCATGGATATGGGTGGATGGATGTGTGTGTGAGCATAGAGAATAGAAAAGTCATACCCATACCTACACTCTTCAAAAGTTTAAACTTAAGGGGGAGGGGGGTGTCCTCCCCCAAACATACCCTGAAACTTTGCCAGTTTTTAGAGAACACCTTCAATGGTGTGCCTATAAAATATAAAAAACTTTGGTCAATTATTGGCTGAGTTATTAATTAATTAAGTTCAAAATTAATTAAATAGTTTGAGTTGAGAAACACGTTTTATAAACTTTCCAGTATTCCATATGAATGCCGTATTTAGTTCATTCCGATGTAGTTTTGTAGACAATCGTTTGGACATATAGTTCCATTCAAAAAACTCTTAAATATGACTTTCTTTCATGC